TGATCATTTTAATGTTCAACAATTTAAAAACATAATTTACAAAAACTAGTCGCCAATAGGTCTTTTTTTTAACGATTTTTTGTTATCATTTAACGTATTAAGAATTAAGTCTTTTTAATGTTCATCAGCTAAGCAAGATGTCATAACCCTTGATATTGTTTTGTGGTCCCTGTTTCACAATTAAAAAAGAAGAAAGTCCACGAAACAAAAAAGTAAGTCCCTTTAAAAAGTAAGTTACTAAAAAAATTTTTTTTTTTAAATATTAAGCGACGGGTCGAACAAGTCGTGTACCCGGTGGAAAGCGTCACGCCTGTCCATAACAGTAGCACTGCCGCTCGAAGGCTACTGCTACGGCGTCCATCTCTCTGAGACATAGTTGACAAGTCCCATGTGCCTGTAATTTCACCAGCACCCTTACCCTTCAAAACTGTAACACGGTAATGTGGCAGTACTACCCTGGACGAACTCACAAGGAGCTCTACTGCTACTAGTGATTTTTGAATATGATTTTCGGAACGAAAATGGCTCAAATGCTAATCCGTCAGTGGCAGCGTGTTGTCTTTGCAAATGCAGATTCAACAATAAATGCGGCGTTAATATTTCGACGCGGGAGTAGAATTTTTAAACTGAAAGAACAAAATTAAAGGGACCTTTATGAATCAGTGCTATTCGAGCTTTAATTGCACAATTTCATCTTCACCACAGTGTGACTAATGTAACAACATATTTTTTTAAGATGGTTTTACGGTATAAACTCATTTTTTAATTTTTTGATTTGGGTCGCTTTCATTGTAAGGGTGTGAAGTATTAGTCGGATAATTGCGTCATATTGCGTCATGCGTTAGAAGAAACATACCGACTGATTCGCTAGCTGCCATGCGTTAGAACAGTACCGACGGATAGAAAGAGACAAATTTCATTCATTAAAATACAATAGATGAATGCGTATTATTACATATGATATGGTAAAAAGAAACAGAGATAACTTTAAATATGTGTTTTTTAGAGGACATTAGTTTTATTAATGGATATTAAATGGAAATTTGTGTATTTTGTATGTTTGAAGATATGAAGTTAACGAAACCATATTACGTTATTATGTACTAAGTTTTAAATAATAGTTTTATTATGAACTAGTGTATTTTGGCAAAGTAATCGATAATATTTATTTTTCATTAAATGTTCACACGCATATTACATGAATAAAATAATAATAAATTTAGTAAATTATAACATAGTAATAAGAATATGGCATTAAGTACTTTATCATTTACAATAACATGCCTGAATTTCACAATTTTTTCAAGTTACGTAATTTGGTTGTATTATGATACTCAATAGAGATGTGATGTGACTATTTATTTTCGTTAAATGACATCAGCTGATCGAAACTGTTCATGGCGAAATTTCCATAAATAACGTAGTTTGTACTAAAACAACTTTGCTAAATAGTTTCATACCATTAACTGAATCCGACCTTCAAATATGACTACACCTTGCTGTTACACCCTGTATATACGCTAACAAAAAATTCAAATCACGCAGTGTAATTATACTGTATATATAGTAAGTGCGTATAATGGCGCAAAAGAAAAAAAGGATACGACGCAGCAATATGTCCAACTCGGGCGAGACAGACGCTGATTTTCAGTCGTTCCTGTTTCAGCACCGGCTGAGTCTTGCTAAACTGTCTTCTGCGTACTTGGATGACACCGTGGTAGTGACCCGTTTAGCTCTTGCAGGTAGTCTCGATCTAAGATGATTAAATTAATTATTGTAATGATAAATGTATTCAAATGTATATTTACAAAGAACAACTTCTAGAGGTTCTTGCTCATTCTTTTCAGGGGATTCTGCATTACGAATGAGCAGTAGAGTTTAATCAGTATGACGATTTCAAGTGTAATTGCTTACCTATGAAAGAAAGATTATTTGACTTTAAAACTGAGTTCCGGTTTAGAAGGGTAATGGTGCTGGTGAAATTACAGGCACATGAGACTTGTCAACTTATGTCTCAGGGTGACGGACACAGTGGCAGTGCCCCTCAGATCTTTGCGATTTAAAGCTCGGAGCGGCACTGCAACTGTTATGAACAGGCGTGTCGCTTACAACGACTTGTTTGTCTGGTCACTTGGTATTATAAAAAAATGTAATGCATTTGACAAAGGTTTTTCTGATATCTATAGCACGAGTATACCCACTGTACTGAATACTTACAATTTTTCAAATTAAGTTTCTTTACAACCTCAAATTAATATACAACTACAACACTAAAATAAACACTAAAATAATTAAAAACCCTACCCTCTTAGCTACGCATCGCGCCGAACATGAGGTTGGACTTTTTGTCTTACTATAGTCTGTTTTAATCCATTTTAAGCGAAATGTAAACAAAACGGTTTGGTTGAATTTCTAAAGCGATCACTCAATAAACCGAATAAGCAACACTTTCACGTATATTTCGAACATTTTGACTTGTTATCTCATCCCTTTTTCCAACAATATTAATTTGAATAGCATCGTAAAATCGTATTTGAAAAATGGTAGTCTATAGTCACTTAGTGATGTACGGAAAAAAACATTCAGTTCATTCAATTAAAGTTTTTGTAATCGATTAGTAAATCACAAATGTCAATCGCAATCGAGCAAGTATCTAAGTGTAAGTGTTTGAAGGAGGATTTAAAAACGTCTATTCAATATTTATTTTAACGGGCTTATCGGGGAGCTGTCGACTGTTCCACAGATGAACAGGTCATAAATAATGTTAGCTACTCCGATGATATGGTGTTCCTGGGTCCGTCTATACGTGCTGTCAGGAAACTTCTGGAGGTGTGTGAGAGATATGCCGAGGATCATGGACTTAGGTACAAAGTCGAGAAAAACGAACTCTTAGCTTTTCAGACACGAAGCCATAAGATATTCACTATGCCCCAGTCACTTTAAACGGCATCCCTTTAAGCAGAGTTTCGCGATTCAAGTACCTGCGCCACTGGGTCCCTCCGAGCCCCAAACCTTTTAGACCACGATGACATTGAAAGGGAGCGACGGGCGTTGTTGTGCGAAGCAACATGCTGGCTCGCAGATTTGCATGTTGCAACACAGCGGTAATGGTAACACTTTTAAAGCTTATTGCCAGTCTGTGTATACGTGCAATGTGTGGGTTACCTGTACGCAAAAGCAATCAATGCCCTGCGCGTGCAATACAATAATGCGTTTAGGGTGTTGATGGGGCTGCCGAGACATTACAGCGCGTCAGGTATGTTTGTAGACGCTCACACAGATGACTTTTATGCCATCATAAGGAAACAAGCAGCCTCGATGCTGAGTCCTGTCCGCGGCAGCATTAACACCATCCTAGGCGTTATAGCCGACCGTTTTGACAGTCCTATAATGTGGCATTTGATTCAACTGCATAATAGAACGTAGAAGTACGAATTTTATAACTTATTTTATTATATTTTAATTATATGCTCTTTATCTTGTGATTTAGATTCAAATATTCAATTTTGATTTAGCTTTTAACTATTAATTCAATTTAATTTTTTTTTTTCGATATCAGTTTAGTTTCTATTTTAAAGTAACATCTGAAATAAATTATTTTTATATTATTTATTTTTAAAATTAAGATTTCGGGAATTTTAAATATGCTTTCATAAGTTATGTAGTGAAAACAGCTAGTATGACACAATTATACAAATTGATTCATTCAATTAATTAATTGTTTTGTAGTTGGCAGTAAAATTGGATATCACTAAACCGTCTATGGTCGGGTCAGTGACATGTTTGATTACATTTTGTTTAAAATGGATTGAAACGAAGTATACACTATGTATTGGTGGCATTGACTTCGTAGTTGGAAAACTAAAACTATTGTCATAGATTCCTTAAGGCGAGTCGCCAGAGGAAAAGCGGGAAAAGCAAAATGGTATAGGTATTTAATATTAAATAATGGTCATAAAAAATATACGCTATACCTAAGAATATTGTCTAAAAAATGTAATTTGTTACACGATAGAATGTAGGTACTTTACCCGATCGTATAAAACTCTGGAAACAGGCAAAATTAAAAATCTAAAACGAATTGTTTAACCTTCTAGCGGTCGCGGGCGGTCTCATGAACCGCAGCGACCATATTTTAGTCATTTAACAAAAACTATAAACAATAGACCGTAGACGTTGTGCGACCTTGATATCCTCGAGGGAGTGAGGTACTTTCCCTTAGTAGCTCGGTGACATTCGTTGCAAGCGCACATGTGTATTTATTTTTATTTGAGGTCTTAAATTCGTGTTCCAAAAAAACTATATGATAACTGAATATGATTATTATGATAATTTTGATCGATCTCGACAATAATTTATTGTGCCTATTAACGATTAAGATAGAATATTTCCTCTTGTTTTGTTATTTTGTTGGTTTTTAACGTTGTTTTTTGTCATATGACTAAAATTTTGTATTTTTGTAGACTGTTAAATTAATAAGTATAAATTGAAAATATAATAGTTACATAGTTTTTTTTTTTTACTTTATAGATAAAAGACTTCTTTTATTATGTGCTACACAACGTCGTCATGAAAATATTCAGTTTGTCTTCTGAAACTAAACGCTGAAAGTTGCGGTCTCGCAGACAGCACGCGACTGCTTATGTGCGGCGCAAGAGTGCGACCACCGGAGGATTAAGAATAAAATATCTAACTTTATACATAATCTTTATATGGAGATATTTAACTTTAAATACTACAGATAATAGAGAGATATTTAACTTAAAATTTGCAACTCGCGCAGCGGTTTAACGACACGCCGCGCCACCTGCAGCCCGACCAGAGGCCATCCGACACTTGTCGACATCGACATGTCGGATTTGTGTAAAATTTTGTCTGTCTGTTCTTATTTCATTCATATTAATAGTCAGCGCGCGTTGCGGGACGCGAGAGGCGGCCCCCCCATGCCTTAAAGGTTTATTATTTACCCATTTTGTACCTAGCCCAATTTTGTTTCAGACTTTGCGAAGTAATGGACCTCGATCCGGTACCAATTTTAATGTTCAAGGCCATCTTCAGCAATATAGGCGGAGCCGCCACCCCTGTAGGAGACCCCCCTTGCGTCATTGTTGCTTCCAACAAAGACGTTATACAAGCCGTAAGTATATAAACTCAACAACAAATACTGTTGGGTAATTTAACACTGGTCATTGTAATTCCATTAAGAACTCCAATGAGATTATATCGAAATTATGATAACATTTATTATTCTGCTAAAATCTAGTTGCACCACATAGTGGTGTTACATAGAAATTACTATGCATATCTTAATTTATAATTAGTTTAAACAGAAATTTAATCTTCACAATAATTTTTTCATTATCATATCCATATAGTGTTAGTAACAAAATAGTAAAGAGAACGGACACTCTCCGCCCCTCCCTACCTTCAGATACCGCACCACGCCCCGCACATTGCCGGTCACATTGACTGAACGACAACAAGGCTGCCGGCGCCGGCGAGCCGTTTTCACGCGAAGACGGCTTTGATATTTGAATATAGTTTTCATTTATTCATTACGAATTTTATACGTTAATATAAAACATCATTTTACGTTACTATTTATAATGGTCGTGAATTGTGCTGTGTACGGCTGTTTAACATCATTTTCCGAAATATGAAACGAACTAGGTAAGTAAAAAAACTTATGTCTGAGACTCATTCAGTTATTGTTTTCTTCATTTATTTACTGCAGAGTAATATATGTATATGTATAAAAATACAGATTTATTATATCAATATAATGAGGGGCCATGACTTCGTGAGCTAGTAGACAAGGTTTCTCGAATTTTCAATTCATATTGGTTACCTTATTTAAAAGTACATGTCCAAAATATAACATTTTAAGTGATTTTAATATATTTTTTAAATAAATCTTCAATATTACTCTAGTTAGTGAGTTAATGAAAAATATGATATTATATCGAAATAAATACATAATAGACATGTGTAATTATTAGGATTCTGGATTCTATTTCACATTAGCATTTTGGCTATGTTGCCGCTCTGATCACGTAACGAAATAGTGCAAGAAAGTGATAGGTAACCCTGCCACTTCACGCACACATTTGCGCGTATGCAGATAGCGCCTTGCTGTATGTAATAGTAGTAGGTAAATGATTTTCGACCGTTATATGGAGTGTCCGGGGTGTGCCCGTACCCAATGATATAATATGGGCCCATCGTTCCTATTGGCGCTGCCCCGCACTCTGTGCATTAGGGACGCTACGCGCTTCCGCAAAAAGGCACTAAAGCAGTCCACTCGCGCCTCGGTAAACATTCCCGAAGCGCTACTGAAGCGCGGCTACCTCAACAGCATTCTGAGAGCGTCATTATAGTGGACGTACAGGGCGCGATACGTTTTCTGTGTATACTTCACGCACAAGCTGTAAAAAGATTGGCAAAATGCTTTGAAAAGCGTGAGCTTTACGTAAATAATTAGAAGATTACGCCGTCGACCCGCCTTTGAAGAGCAGAACATCAAAAAATGGCAACGGCAGTTGAACAGTAGCTCGATGGCTAGCCACTGATAAGCAGCTACTCGTAACATTTAGCAGAATTCCAAACGTATAAAAACCCGCTCGTTGACACTCTATCGATACACAACTGAGATGATTTAAAATTGGCAGACTTAGGGTATGGTTGGACCATTTGACGATAGCAGGAAACAGCCCATTAATATAGAAAATAATATCTTTTCAGGGTATCAACTTCACGAATTTCACAGCCCACATGTCTCTAGGTGTCATTTTGGTGTTTATTCAGACTACAATTCAATTCAGATTGATGTATAGAGACACCAATAAGTTGCGGTTGAATGTACCGAGGGATATTCAAGGTAAGTTTCAGGTAGCATGAGAAATGGCATCACGAGTGTTGTGGGTAATCTTAGATATTAATAAAAAGTCAGTTGTCATCCAGATCGTCTCTCATTTACATAACATGGTGACAGCGGTGGGATGTCAATGATGTGAGTGTCAACTGCTAGTGTCGCCAAGGAGGATAGATGTCGCTGTCATAATTTTACGAAATAAACATCGCGTATTTTCATTTAACGAGAAATTATTTCCTATATACTATTAAATGAAAAAATAAACAAAATATTGATGAGATCTATGTAAATAAATAAGTTCAACTTGACTTTTAATCATTACAAATCAATATTTAGACAATAAATTCGAAAATAATATTGTTTCCATTGCGTCCTAGTAACTATTTTAAGACTGCTAAATTTGACATAAGAACAAAGTCGCGTCATAGTACTGTAACAATATTATATTTATTGGTATGGCAATACTGCACACGACGATATAAAACGGGCGGGAGACAAATCAAAAACGAACACTACTATGTCTCCGCTCTATTGAACATTTCAGAGAATGAAATCCTCATAGAGAAGCACATAGGTGATTAGAAAAGTGATACATTAGTACGAACTGGTGGAGATTAGAATAAAAGTCTAAAACGAAGGTGCCTTGTTTGAATTTAATCGTTTTATCTAGAAAAAAAACGAAATACCCCATTTTTTGGTCTCATTTATTGTAATATTGCCTTCCTTACCATAACTAATGCAATTGCGTTTTGGTAACTTTCGAGATATTGGCACCTAAACATTTTTTTTTATGTCAATAAAAATGTCTAACATTACTAACTTTTTAGAACTTCGCCAGCAAATCTCCATCTGGCGCCGAGCCGCAGAATCCCTTCCTCATCTTAGCAAAGACGTACTAGCGGTTAGAGAACGCCTGGAACGAAAAATAGGGAAGTTGAATTTACAGCTGGAAAAGTTGGAGAAGAAAAGCAGCAAAAGAGCTTGCCCAAAAGATACTTATCAAAGTACGTTAATGGAGTTGAAGGAGAAGGTGGGATATACAAAACTTTCTAGGTCTTCTGCTTAAAAAGTAACCCTTTCTAAACAACCACTTGAATATCTTGTGTCTGTCTAGTGCATAAGAAGTATATAACAAGAATGTGTTTGACCTGCAACTTACCTGATGGAAAGTAACGATGAGGTAGACGATGTAAGCGTGCTTTTCGCTCTCGCCTTGAAAATGGGAACAAGTCTGCAGGCAGTGAATTCCACTCCTTGGTCGTTCGCCATATAAAGGCGGAAGCGAAACACTTCGAGCGAATCCTTGGAATATCCACAACATAGCGGTGGAACCCAAGCCTACGCTAGTCCCCCGATGATGGAAAGGAGAAGGCGGAATAGTATTAGCCAGTGTCGACACTCACTTTTCAACAGACTTCAAAATGAAATTTAATGTTATAATTTTGGATGAAATGAAATTTTAAGTCATATTCCAGGACACTAATGAACCTTACCACCTTCCGTTATTTGCAGTTCAAAATCCGTGACAAGATATTGTTGGCAAAAGCTTCATTTGCTATTTGCTTCGTCGTGGTCTTATTCTTTCTTCACTCAATACCAGAACTTAGTAAGTAGATATATCTTCAAGTTCAATAACTTTATTCCAACCCCAATATAAAATTCTTGTTTTAATGATTGCCTTAAGAGTCTAACCTCAGCCCGAATTAAAATGTTTCCCTAAATATGGTTAATTTTGCTTGTGTCGAGCGATAGGGATACGCTCATTTCTAATACACCAACAAACAAAGTTTGTTACTCCGTGTTGATTACAATTTCGGAAAATGTAAAGAGAATGGTAAGATTGAAAAAGACCTAAGAATTTTAGTTGAATCAAATAAAATTAACTTATCTGCTTTAGTCGGTATACGCATTGGTTTAAATGAATAATGTTGATTTTTGATTATTTGCATAGTCCCCCGATAAATATCATCAAACCAAATCCTATTACAATGAGAATTTTAAGTCCTGAACATTTTAATCCTGGCATATATTTTTTAATTACAATTTTTCATTTTTTATGCATATAAAGCAACACATACAGGCTCTATTATGAGTATGAGTAGGGAAATGACGGCTGATAGGGGAGAGTGGAAGAAAAATACATGTTGTGCTGACCAACCCCACCTAACGTGGGATAAGGACAGGAAAAAGAAGAAGAAGACGGCCTTTAATTAAGTGCTTGGTGTTTAGTAAACACTTCGCTTGCCGGTCTGATGCAGCAAGCAAATAGCTAGCTATAGGTGAAGCCTGAAAATCAGTAATGCAGAGTCTTCATCCTTTTTGTCCACATTACTGTTATTTTGTTTTAATTATTCATTCATATAATATGTTTATTTGATTTGTGGATAAATAAATGTCTTTTTTATTTCATTTTATTTATTTATTTTACATTATAATTATTAATACAAAGATCGAACACTCAGAAAAACTTCCTTCGATCCGGTCGGATTCGAACCGACGTCTTCTTGCATACCGTGCCAGACGCTATACCAACTAAGCCACGGAACGAACCAACGGACCTCACGAATTTTTCTATGTGCTTGCGTCGTGTCTTTGTACTTGGTCTTTCAACGACTTTTTAGTCGTAGCGCCATCTATGAGAAATCTATTGCAGATTTATCACCCAGTTAGTACCTTTACAGCTACCAGTCCTGGCGAGAGATGTCGCTATTCACTGTATTAATTACATTTTTATTAAATTGATATTCAATTATTTTTTTGTGAAATTACTCCACTAGTTTGTTATAATTATTAATACAAAGATCGAACACTCAGAAAAAAATTCCTTCGATCCGAATATTTTACATTATTTCATTTTTTACAGATGGCGTATCTCTGGGTTGGACTGCATTACTCGGCGCCATCTTACTCCTTATCCTGGCTGACAGAGAAGACCTCGAACCTATTCTTCACAGAGTTGAATGGTCTACATTGTTGTTCTTTGCTGCGCTATTTGTGCTCATGGAGGTTAGTCAGACAATTTTTATCTGAAAGATAAGAACGGCTACATTATAAATTACGTAACATAGAGATGTGACCATGAAAGTACCAGTGAAGCAAACACACGAATTAGTCAAGATTAAAAATTTCATGAAAAAATTTGATATTTCCAAAATTTCTACGCAAAATGCCGAAAACAATTTTCGGAATAAAAACTAAGCTGAAATATCAAAATATGACTAGTCTACGGTTTGTTCACCTTTCAATGTTAAGAGTCTGATAGAATGTAGAAGTTTTATTGCTAAAAGAACTGATAAAATGATAAGTGATAGATGGAACTTGCGAAGGCGTGCGAGTGAGTTTAAGAAATAAAGTGCATTTCGTCTTTTATGCATTTCTAATAATAATAATTACGCACACACTCAACACAGTCCCGCACTAGGGAAACCCTGTGTCGCGGGTGCCATGGACACTCACATAGACAACCACAAATTACACCCAAACTCACGAGAGAACTAAATGTTGGCCATACAAATATTTCTCCCAACCGGGAATCGAACCCACCTTCTCTTGTAATTTTGTTGCATTCACCTAAATACCGGTCAATGGCACAATGTGCTTATCCTACAAAATGTACGTTCGTGTATCGTACAAGTAACGTACACCCTTTCTGTAGAAAAATGCTTTTTTTTTATAAATAAGTGCTTATTTCATTTTCCTTTTTTTTTGTTTACTCCTTTATTAATAGTAGTGGAAACTACGTCACGCGCTATTTCAAGAGTGCTTTAATTTATTTGTTTCAAGTGCTATTATTTTACAGGCTTTGTCCAAACTTGGCTTGATTCTGTACATCGGAGGTCTAATGGAACAACTTATCATACAAGTCGATGAAAAAGCGCGATTAGCTGCAGCTATCGTTATTATTGTATGGGTATGTATTTTCCAATTAGATTAAAAATAACAAAATTTCGCTTTGCTATTTTAAGTATAAGATCTTTGAACATTAATTTCTTCATGCTAATGCACTTAGAATCATGTAGGACCTAAAATATTACCCTGTAGCACTCTTAATATGTAATAATGGATTATACATTAAAAATTGAAAACGACAGTATTTCATACGTAATTCATATTAACTACATGCCTGTATATACAATTTGGTTAAAACTAAAAACGAATTATTAAACCAAGTATAGTGTATTAAACGCTTTCCCTAGTTTATTTACATTGTGCCAAATGCTTCTCTTGCTGTGTTGATAGAAATAAATTAATTTAATTTCACTTCATGAGTTTAAATAAGCTCTTTATGTTTTTTTTTGTATACTGTCTAGATATTTACATTTTTGTCGTTCTCTTTTATCTGTTTGCTCTTATATGACAATGAAACAAGGTATTATCGTGTTATTTACACGAGAATAAGTACATTCTTTAAGTTTCGTTGTTGAGGTGACTCTGACGATAATATTTACATTTTCACGATTACACTGTTACATAGGTTTCGGCCGCTAGATTCGGATTTCCATTAAGAGATGTTTTAAGGTCTTCGTAATAACATAAAACACAACTGGTAAAAGGAACCTGGCCTCGAGAAGACATTCTTCCAATTAACTTTTAAAGCAAGCAAATTAGTTATATTGTTTTATTTTCTCTATCTTAAAGGTATCAGGAATAATATCAGCATTCGTAGATAATATACCATTAACTACAATGATGGTAAGAGTCGTGAACAACATGGCGACGAACCCAAATTTGAACCTGCCTTTAGGGCCTTTGATTTGGGCTTTGCTGTTCGGTGCTTGCTTGGGAGGTGAGTTATATTACGTCATTCATAACGTGACATAGGCTAGTTAATGCTCACCAATCATTGACTTACAAATAAATGGACGACGGGTCTAATACAAAAACCACGAAAAAAATGTCCCAAGTCAACCTATTCGAAATTTAAATTGTAATGTCATCGCAGTATCGTGCTGTCAGTAGAACAAATGAAAACTAAAGCGGAGTTTGGCGCTCTGTATACGATTTTAGCGCCTTACAAGTGCGGACACTTTTTAGCGCGGACCCGACGTCCATATAATTGTAAGTCAATGTCACCAATGCACAATGTTCAATTAAATACTTTGCTAATACGAATTTTTCTTAAGTGTTTTGTGCTAGCTTTGTCTTTTTGTCAAGTCTGTTGGTGCTTTAGCTTTTGCGTAAGAAATGAGAAGATATTGTTTAAAAAATCATTTACAAATATATTCGTCGGGAATGTGCAATTACGCGTAACTAACATTTGACTAGGAGTCTCCATTTCGTTAATTTAGTGGCCAAATCAGATTCGCGTAAATGTCGTGGCATCCAAATTAGCGTGATTTACGGGAATCTATTGTTATCAGTCCGTAGACAACATAAATTAATGCTGACTGTGCAATAATGCAAGCCATTGAAATAACAAAGTAATAGCGTTAAATCCCTCTCCTGTGAAATTTGGTTTGTTGCATTTACGCGCTTTTTACCAATACTACATACGCGGATTTGCACTATCCCCGAAGATATCGTTATGTATATACAAACTCACATTCCATTTCTATTTCATGAGATGCTAAAAATCTCTCGTGCTGTATTGAAATGTCATAGCTTATTTCAATAAAGGACGAGAATAATGCTACTGTGATGAAAACATTAACCTTTTTAACCAACTTCAAAAAAGGAGGGGTTCTTCAATTCAATTCGACTGTACGTTCTTTTTTTTGTATGTATGTTACGCGATAACTCCGGTATTTGTGAACCGATTTTCATGATTCTTTTTTTGTTGCAAAGGGGGTACTTCCATAGTGGTCCCGTTTCATTTTGAAGAAAATCATCCACCTCTAAAGGAGGCTGTTCACGCATGAAGATTCATTTTTATAAATAGCGCCTAAATCTTACTTAAGGAGCAATTATTTTAATGGTTGATTTTGCTATTTCTCCAACTCAAGGCATTTTTCTCTCAATATATTTTGAGTAGTGAGAACCGATTATTATTATCTCCATTGTCAAGTCCTGTATAAACTGTAAAACCTAGCAAGTAGAAGTAATTCCCATGTACTTTTGAGGTCGGGATTTTTTAGTACTCTGTACTGAGATTGTTCACTTTAATTTTGTACTCGAGGCTGTCCAATTCGTTTGGTCGATACATCTTGTTTTACTACAATGTGAACACATTTCCCTTGTTTTCAGGAAACGGCACTCTAATAGGTGCAAGTGCAAACGTGGTCTGCGCTGGAGTCGCCGAACAGCACGGATACAAGTTCACGTTCTCTAAATATTTCAAGACTGGCTTCCCTATCATGATTGGACACTTCACAGTAGCTTCGTTTTATTTACTGTTATGCCACTGTGTTTTTACTTGGCACTGATAACTTTAACTTGTTTTTTATCATTAACTGTCCTAAAAGTGATTCTTCAGTCGCGAGGCAAATTTTAATGTGAGTTTTAGTGATTTTACTGAACAGTTATTCTCTTTAACAAAAGTGTCTCCAAAACATAGTTGTACCTCTTTAAAAGTCCCGTCACCGAGAGACATCCTATTATAGTTATTACCTTAGAATAATAACGCATAGAATGATAGTTTCATATCAAACGAACTGTCACAAGTGAGGCAAAAATCAAATTCATGTAGGCTAGTTTTAGTAGTAGGTTAATTTTCGGTTTTAGTGAATATTTATATAAAAATACAAGTTGAAACGCGTTACTTTCTTGTGGAATGTGATGTTAGTATCTATTTTATGTTTGTCTGACGTATTTTTACACTCATTTACCGCACATTTCGTCATTTTTAGCTAAAATTCTGGAGCTGTTCGCGGTGCAAGTTGACATTGAGCGCTGAAGGCCCACCCGCTCGTGTAGGCCCATTGGGAGTGCTTCAATTTGCCTCACTTAGCGTGTGCGGACTAGGTTTCTATGCGCTTATTATTCTAAGGTTATTACAACATCAACTCAGATACAGTAGTATTCTAGGTATGGATACCTTACATATAGAAAAAACTCACTAAAATGGCTCCGGTCTGCAGTGTATGTGATGAAAAAAATTCAAAGTTTCAGACGTAGAAAACTGTAGGTTGGTCTATTTTAGTCACTAGCGTCTTTCGAGCATCAGCGCCTTGCCAACGCACACACAGCGTCAAAATTTTAAGAAATGTACAGTACATTTATGAAAATTTAATTAATGTTAAAAATAATAGTATTTTTTTTATTAAAAATACAAGGCGGTTTGATAAATACATGATTTTAAGAATAAATTAAAACATTTTTCAGAATTTATTTTTATTTCTTAATGTAGAACTCCTTAACAAACAACGGACGTTCCATTTTTAAAATTAGCGAGAAAAAAAATTTAATAAAAAAGTTAGGTGAAGTCGAATATTTTTTGAAGATGGAGTCAACGGAATTTCGAGTACTCCGTTTCTCATCTAATATCATATAATATTAGACATCTAATATCATATAATATTAGACATAACTGGTTGATGACTGTACTACCTACCATGGGACCTCTAGAAGGCCCGAAACGTCGGTTTGTTTGAAAAAACAAATATACGCGATTTAAATCCGGAAAAATAGTTTCATTTCCTAAACAAATTCTTTATGTTTTTTTTTTTTGTATACGCCTTCATTTAGATTTTTGTCTTTCTCCGTTATTTGTTTGCTCTTATAAATGAAACAAAGTACATATTATTGTGTTATTTACACAAGAATAAGTACATTCTTTTAAGTTTCGTTGTTGAAGCGCCTCTGACAATAAATCTTACATTTTCACGATTACGTTGTGAATGTCATGTTAAAAAAATGTGAAAACGTTGTGACCATATCCCATATTGCTTGTTAAATAGTTCTTTAGTTAAAATATTGACTAAGAAGGTGCGACCTCCTAAGACACTGGTTCATTTAGTTTGGTACAGTACATTTATGAAAATGTAATTTAGGTTAAGAAGAATAATAACTTCTTTATGAAAAATAATGACAGATATAACATTAATACGACGAATAAATATAAACTGGTTATCCTTGATAGCCGTCTTCACAAAGTCACGCATTCATTCAAGGAACAATGCATAATATAAGCTTCATTAATAAGATTCCGGTTGATATTCAAGATTTGCCATTCAAAGAGATTTAAAACTATAGTGAAACTAAAACTTTATACTAACAATTTTTTATACAGCTTTTTCGCACCTGGATGACAAAAATCCGTGACCCGTTTAGCCTTTGCAGATTGTCTCGATCGATGTTTGATATAAATATTGTAAATGATTTTGCTTTTTTGGATTTTCTCGCTCAAAATTCACCTTTTTTCACATTTATTTTCCAATTAATATTATAATTATTAATACAAAGATCGAACACTCAGAAAAAATTCCTTCGATCCGGTCGGATTCGAACCGACGTCTTCTTGCATACCGTGCCAGACTCTATACCAACTAAGCCACGGAATGAACCAACGGACCTCACGAATTTTTCTATGTGCTTGCGTCGTGTCTTTGTACTTGGTCTTTCAACGACTTTTTAGTCGTAGCGCCATCTATGAGAAATCTATTACAGATTTATCACCCAGTTAGTACCTTTACAGCTACCAGTCCTGGCGAGAGATGTCGCTATTCTACGGTACGCTACGGTACGGTATGCAAGAAGACGTTGGTTCGAATCCGACCGGATCGAAGGAATTTTTTCTGAGTGTTTTTTCTGAGTGTTCGATCTTTGTATTAATAATTATAACAAACTAGTGGAGTAATTTCACAAAAAATAATTGAATATCAATTCAATAAAAATTTAATTATAACTATTATTATTATATATTATTGAGAAAAAGGGGAAGTCAGAAGAGATGTTGTTGGTCTTTGGCCGGTACAATGGACATCGTGCGAAACGGTCAAGAGCTGCACAGCTTCTTCCCCGATATTTCCGTCCGACTGTCCTCTACATGGGTTGTACCGAATTATGTGGTATCGCAATTGCTCACCGGACACGGCTGCTTCAGAGCACTGCTGCGTCGTATGACGCTGTGCGACTCTACGTCGTGTCCGTGCGGAGAGCCCAGCAAGAGTCGCGACCACGTATTGTGGGAATGCAAGCTGTACACAGAACCGAGGAACACCTTGCTCAACAGCCTGGAGCGAGCGGCGTTCGACCCGGCACACGTTTTAACCCTCGTTGCCAGCCCAGGGAACTTTAATAGATTTCGTAAGTTTGCACACTCGTGACACAACGAAAGAAGATTAAATGACGTGTAGCGCCCAAACGTCGACGCGAAGAGCTGTGTGTTGTACACGGCCCAGAAAGGTGAGAGGTAAAAAAGAAGGGACAAGAAAATAGAATTTGTGTAGAGAGTCAAGACGCGCTTCACGGGAAAGAGGCAGGAATAACCGTGGGAAGTTGGGTTTGGTCATTGTAATTAGGTTATTAGGAATTGGAGAAAAACTATATTTCGGCATCGGGAAGTGAGCGTGCCTTACAGCTCACTCGCTCATGGTTATGTGATAAGTGCCTACCGCTGAGTATACCGACGTCGGCACAAGCGCTCATACAAGTCTTTTATTTATGAGCATTCGGCTCCGCACGACTGCACACGGCGGGCAACGTTTTTTTCCTCGTAGTGAGCGCCTGGTGTCAGTAGAGATTTAGTAAGCTATTATAGCGTAGGTATTTTCGATTTTGTATGAGAGTGATATATCTGTTACGTAGTAACTATTAAGTAGTAGCATCCTGCCATTGACATCGATAAACAACGGAGATTATTTAAAATCAGCAGAATTAAGACCCTGGCAGCTTACTACATACCTCGTCATAAGTTGTGTCTAAAAACCTTCTACTTTGAGGAAACTCGTACCTATGTCGGACTGCGAAACAAACAATATATTGTAATTTTAGTATAATTATCCTTCCTTCTCTTAGATGATTCCAATAAACAAATAAGTATATGTTAACAATTTTTGTATTATTGGTATTATACATTGCAAGGGTTCCGTACCTGCTTAATTATATTCGTTACAAAAATATGAACAACGTGGTATTCTACAGATATACCACAGAGGGTAACCTACCACAAACTCGAATTTATTTTTTATTAACGTTTGTTCGAATTTTCGTAACACCGAAAACCGAATTATAAAGAAACTGTAATTTTTTTCAGAATATGTTGGATGTTTATCGCAAAGACACGATTAGGTTCGGTTCGGTTAGGTTAGGTTAAGTTGTTGAGTGGATGCTGTTATGGCCCCTGGTTAGCGGACTCGGTGGAGTTCGTTTCCCAGATAGAGGGGCCCGGGATGGAAGGCTCGTGTGGTGTTCGGCGAGCCTGACACTCGGAGTCGGGGGACCGATGTGTCTCCCTTCTCGGGGAGGGGCTGCGCATGGCGCGGCACGCCCCTGGTGGGGGCGCGGACGAGGCAATAGCGTACCCCCACCTACAGCGGAGAGGAGGAACACTCCGTTTAAACACACGCACTTTAGTGCAGTCGGGCTGGTCCCCTTCAGGGTGCATTCCAGACTCACATAACCTCGGCTCTGCCCCCGCGGGGCCGGGGTATCTGTAAGATTTCCTCGGATTTACAAAAAAAAGGTTTAAAAGAAGAAACATTTTTCTCTCAAAATTACTTTCGAGGTTATAAAAATTCGAGCAAAAGTTATTTCTGGAAAATGTCATTTCGTACTTCTGATAGTTAACCATCACGGAGAGTGTGCGAGGGAATTGTACGATTTAATTCCACCCTACCCTTTCTATCATCGCAGACTAGATGTAGATTGGGGTGTCACGCCTATGTTGTGGACTTTCCAAAGATTCGCACAAAAGCGTTTCGCTTCCACATTTATATGGCAAACGGCAAATGAGTGGAATTCCCTGACTGCAGACTTGTTCCCCGAACGCTATAACTTGGGCCTTTTTAAAGTGAGAGTGAATAGGCACTGTTTAAGTGTACATGCTACATCGTCGGCCTCATCATCGCTTACCATCAGGTGAGATGAAGGTCAAATGCGCACTTATTTACAACTATAAAAAAAAAGTTATTTTCACATTTACAATATTGGTTTGGTAATAAAAATCGGTCACGTAACCCCATTGTATTAATTTGTAACGGAAACCTAAATCATAATTAACAAAGCAGTTAGTCGTCACGTTACGGTCATCCTGTAAGTCAACGTAAACGAAATATTATTATTTTGTGTCACAAGGATACAATTTTAAAATGGGAAGGTTTTTAATTGTCATTTTTGTGTTGTTGATTGCTTTTAGTGAGATATGTCCGCAATATAACTATGGTAAGACCCTGAAATTATTAATGATATTACGACTCGCACTGACCTTCTGACCTTGTCCAGAAGAAGCGAGTTAGACGCGAATAATCTAGAGCCTATTGACGGGCGTGCGTTTGAGGACAGATTAAGTCAGTATTAAATACAGACTTATTCGAGTTCTGGTCAGTTTACTGGCGTTGGAAGAGACGAAAATGAAGGAAAAGCAGAATGTACTTAGTACATCAAATTTTTGACAATATGTTTAAGACATATATGTTTGGTTCGTTCCGTAGCTTAGGTGCCATAGGCTCTGGCACGGTTTGCTAGAAGACGTCGCGTCGATGCGAATTCAGGCAGATAGAAGGAATTTATTCTGAGTGTTTTATCTTTGTATTAATAATTATAACAAACTAGGAGTAATTTCACAAAAATAATTAAATATCAATTGAATAAAAATTTAAAACAAGTATCGTGTTCAACTAACATTATTTTAATTGCTCCCTTATATAAAATAGGTAAATATTTATATAACAGTAGAGTAGAAGCATTTAATAAGTTGTTAAACTATGCCATGTCTACAAAAAGTTATGATTATTACTTTGATTCAAACTGGGCAGTACCTTAATATCGTAATATAATATACTAATAATAACGTAAGTACTATGTTTTCCGAATATACAGGAAGATTAAAGAGGAACGGAATAAAACAAGTCCTATCACAATTAGAAAATGTAATACATATTCCCAGTCAAAAGGACTCAAAAAAATTGTACCTATGAAAATTCAGTCACCAATCTTTCTAAAAATATACATATATACAACTTTTAACGAACTATTTTGTCGATGAAACAAACAGGAATGACAGTAAGATAGACACCACACACCACGGTCGTATAACTAGTAATTTAAATTCAGTTTTTCTGACTCCAGCTTCCCCACACGAAATAGAACGAATAATAACCTCCCTTAGAAATACATTGAGCGTGGGTCTTGATGGCATAAGCACCAAGGTATTAAAATATGTAGCCCAGTCAATTTCAGTTCCACTGAGTCATATTATTAATTTAAGCTTATCAACGGGTACTTACCTGGCGAAGCTGAAAACAGCTATAGTGAAGCCCATACATAAAAAGGGAGATAGAGAGGATATCAAAAATTGTCGTCCAGTGCTCTTCTACCTGTTATAACCAAAATCTTCGAAAAAGCAATATACAACAGACTCTATTCATTCTTACAATGGAACAAAAGGGTTTCGTAAAAACGAGTATAAATTCAGCAATTTGATTTGGTTAAACCTGTTACGAAGAATTTAGACGCAGGTATTCATATTTGTGCTATAAATATGGATATGACTTAAGTCTTCGATAACGTAGAGCACAGCATATTAATATGAAAAAAAATTTTCATTATGGAATTAGAGGTAATACTCAAAATCTAATTTTATCATATTTGACTAATAGAAAATAACGAATCGAACTAAAACAGGTAAAGGTTTTGACAAGGGTTGAAGAAAAATACGTGTCAGGATGGAGAAAAGTAGAGCGCGGAGTGCCTCAGGGATGTGTGTTGGGGCCTCTACTATTTTTGTGCTACATAAATGACATATCACGAAATGATATGGTACAAATCCAATGATTCTTTTTGCTAATAACTGCACGGTAATGATAGACTGTAAGAATAACTATGACTATGAATATAATATTAATAAATCTCTAATTGACATAATTAAATGGATGACTCTCAATAGACAAGAATTTAATTTAAGTAAAATCAAAATAATGCAGTTCAGCCAAAGAAAAGCGACACCAAATTTTATCATAAGCTATAACCACCACTACATAGAAAAAGTCAAAGTGCATAAATTTCTAGGACTACACATCGACAGTAATATGTTTTGGGAGAGTCACTCTATACACGTGTGTAATAAATTGTATAAATTCTCATTTGCTCTCTACAGACTTTCCAAAACCAACAATCGTCATAGTTGTAATATTGGTACGGAGTAATTTTCTGGGGAAGCGCTTCGTATAGGGAAATCGTTTTACGAGCTTAAAAGCGATGTGTACGATCTATTTGAGGCCTTCGATCTAATGACAGCTGTCGACCATTCTTTAAAAGGTTAAAAGTGCTAACGTTCCCAAGTTTGTACATACTGGAATCATGTACATTTCTAAAATCTAACCCCGAACTTTACAGGGAAAAGACCTAGAAATCTTCAAATATTCACCACTGACACCATCTCTTGTAAAACAGCTCTTAAGAAAAAAAGCGCCCTTAACTTGGTACCTAACCTCTAGAACAAACTGCCACAAAGGTTAAAAATCCTATACTTGGATATGTTCAGGAGGGATTTGTCAAGGCTATTGATTAAAAAATGCTCACAAATTCCACGGTTGAGGAATATTTGAATGACAATATAGTGTGAATTATAGTCTATGTGCTTATAATTGAATATTACATAATATACTTAATTTGAAATTTGTTTTGACATTGTATAGATTTATTAGTTGATATAATTTAATATTTCGTAAATTAAGATTAGATTGGACATAAATTTTCGTATGCCTGTAAGAGGTGCATGATAGTTGTGCTAAATAAGACTGTACGCCCTATCATGTTATGACCTATGATGACGAATAAATACATTGATTGATTGAAAAAGAATAACAATATAAAGCGAGAGCGACATAAAGCGCTAGATCTTTATGCGAGAATAGCAATATAAAGCGAGAGCGACATAAAGCGCGAAATCTTTATGCGAGAATAGCAATATAAAGCGAGAGCCACATAAAGCGCGAGATCTCTATGCGACAATAGCAATATAAAGCGAGAGCGACATAAAGCGACAGATCTTTATGCGAGAATAGCAATATAAAGCGAGAGCCACATAAAGCGCGAGATCTCTATAGCAGTATAAAGCGAGAGCGACATAAATGGTGAGATCTCTATGCGAGAATAGCAATATAAAGCGAGAGCCACATAAAGCGCGAGATCGCTAAGCGACAATAGCAATATACAGCGAGAGCGACATAGAGCGAGAGATCTTTATGCGAGAATAGCAATATAAAGTGAGAGCGACATAAAGCGCAAGATCTTTATGCGAGAATAGCAATATAAAGCGAGAGCACAATGACAAAAAATGTTCTTTTCACCTTGCTACCATTGGTTGCCTGGCAACTTTATCGAATTTATGAGTGATTATTTAATGAACAACCACGATGGTCTAAAGTCTGGATCATTATGTCAATGTTTTTTTTTTGCAGAATTGCGGCTTCGTAATTTACTCCCAAGTCCGAATAACAAATTAAAACTTGAATGTGTTTTTAACACACCCATACCAGAAAACTATAGCGTACGATGCTTCTATAAAACCGGTGAGTTTTTTTTACACAATACTTATACATGAAACGAAGGCTCTGCTTATAGTCTTCTGAATAATATGAATTAACAGCTTAAGGCGAGTGACCGGAGGAGAAGTGGAGAAAACCTTGGACAATTCCTGTAGGTAAGCGATAGTGAGCTTGTCCCGGCTGCCTCTCGGGAAAATGCTACATTACACGTGTAACGCAACCTGACTGACGATAGCTTAACGACATATGCATGCGCCTGAATTGCGTGTATTCAGCTCGCGACATGCACGTGCGCGACTTAAAAGTAATAAATAAGTACTAACAATAGAGAAATAACTAGAAATAGAGACAAAATGTCATTTAATTTGTTTGAAAACTATTCTGTGGCAACTGCGCTCCGATTGGCCAGTCCGAATTCGAAACAATTGATCAGTTTAACTTGAGCTTTGCTATAATAGACGAAAATTGCAAAATTACATATTTAGTACTTAATTATCGATGAAATGCGATTCCGTTTGTTTTGTAATTAGATGTTGTGCTGTTTTTTCCACACCATCGAATGGATTAGCCATTGTTAGAGATATTATTTTTATTAAAATAAATACAGAATACTTTTGGAATATACGGAGACGTACATACAGGTCAGTTGTTGGCGCTGTACTATTTCAGTTTTCTAATTTGAGATTTCAGCGGAAACGAGAGTTGATATTTAAAATTGATGTAAGGCCCATTTGCCTGATGAGTTCCCAGGGTTAGATGGCCCTTATTTCGTCTCTATTTCTGGTTATATACTCAATGGCTAACAACTACATAAATCAATGTTGCAATTCTGCAATTAATTAATAAAATCACGCACGGTTCTAAACCTTAATTAAAGTTTGTCATGCTAAGTGTCCACTTGAGACAAAATGTCGAGAGAAAATCGCGAGATTGGTCTCAGGATGTTGCCAACTTCAGATCACTTGCGGTCTCGAGATTGGTATGAGAGACTCAATGCTTTGTCCACTAGAGAGTCAATACGCAGTCTGCTGTGTAGCTTAATCGCACGTATACCTATGCATTTTTATTTTTCAAAATGGATATACGTCAGGCCTTTTTTTATAAGAGTGCATAAAATCGGAAGATAGGAAAAAAAATGGGTAATAAGGTAATTGGTGGATCGTCGACTTGACTTTAGAACCGGTTCAATGCACAGCAGTTTAAAAATGTTTTTCGGATGTCTGTAGTGGAGTTTGAACTGCTTTTAGACTTAGTAAAACATCACATTGTCGAGGAAGATACAAAATTAAACACAAGAAAATAATGTACTAACTTTGAAAAAAGTCAAATACACGCTAAATAACACACGCTGATTCAGAGTCTTCTCAGCTCCTCTGGCATTGACGGAAGTCTGGAGACTAGATCTCAAGTGCACGAATGAACATGTCCACTTGCGACACATGTAGTCTCGGCGACCAGGTACGACTTGTCTCCGAGAGTAATCTCAGGCTCATATACATTTATGAGTCTAGTCTCAATCTGCTCTCGAGTATATAAACTGAGTTTTCTGAGGATGCTGCGGAATCCTTAACCCACGCGCTATGATTAACACATCCATTACCGTTCGAGATGCGTGATGCGCAATGATGGTGTAACGCGCGCACGTGTAGATCCGCCTTTAGACTTAGGGCCTTCACAGTGCGACGTGGATTACCTACGCGGACGTCAGTTGTGGATGGTAAAATGTATTATACCTATACACATTCAGTGCGACGCGGTCGCAAACCGTCCGAGGAACGCACTGTTGCTTACGTAGTAATTCAGTGCACGGCGATTGGTCGCGCGTAGCGGTTGTGAGGTACTGCTGAAAAGCGCCAGAAAGCGCCAGAAAGCGTCTGTACAAATCTTTATATTTGTGTAATAGCCAGGGTTTCAATGGCGGCACCATTACATCCGGGTTTATGGCTTCTAACTGTTGTATTATATGTTTTGTATTGTAACTTGGTAAAGAATCAAAAATAAGATTTTAGTAAATGGAATTTGGAACAGCTCCGACTGTTGTGGTGGTCGAGCAAGCGAAGGAAGATGGAACAATTCAAATTTAAAATTTAAATACATGTAAAATAAAAAAAAAATGATAGGATACAAGCGGAGAGAGGCGATACAAAGAGGTGAGATGACGGTGAAAGGAGGTCACACCGTCACACTGCCGTCGTCATGGCTGCGTCAATTGAAACCGAGAGGGTAATTCAAGAGGTACGACTTCGACCCCGTCTGTGGGATCTCCGCGACGATTATTGCAAAAATAATTTTAAATTCATCTTCCTGAAACTCCGTAAACAGAGATACAAATTCTCCTTTAAAAAGTCTTTTTGCCACGATTGGGTGCACATTAAACCTTCTTTTAACGTGGCGCCGTTTTTAACTTAGTAAATAGGCGGCAATGGCCGCTTTCAAATTTTTATCCATAACTGTACCACGCCTGATCAGGATCCGCGAGGAACTCAACGACAATTTAACTGCCTCCGTAGCCGAACGGTTACCATGCCGGACTACCACGCAGAGGTCCCAGGATCGATTCCCGGGCCGGGAGAAATAGTTGTATGGCCTACAATTATTTCTCTCGTGAGTTTGGATGTAATTTGTGGTTGTCTATGTGTGTGTCCATGGCACTCGCGACACAGGGTTTCCCTAGTGCGGGGCTATGTTGAGTATGTGCGTTATTAATAAAACAAAAAATAAATAAATTCATCCGCAATAGACTTCGCCGGCTCGTCCGCGCACGGACAGTCCGTGTCACACTGTGAGGTCCATAAAGTTAACAAGTCCCATGGACCTGTACGAGATTACTCAAACTGAAACGCAGTGATGACCACATTACTGCTTGGTGGAAGAATTAGGTTTCGTGGTAGGACTTCCCTGAACTCTTTCACAAGGAACTCTACTGCTACTAAATGATGGTGGTATCCCCTAATGAAAATTGTTCATAATGGATATATAGTAATGCTTGAAATCTTCTAAATTTCGCAGCCCATTCTACCTATATTATTCATGTTGTGCTATTTTATGTTTTCAGAAGAGTCAGTCATTTGGTTTCCATTACCAGCGAATATAATTCCAAATAAAGAAGCCCTTGGAATCAAGAGTGTAACAATTGTCACCGATAAAACAAGAGCAGATCGGGAAATGACAGTTACGTGTGGCCTTTATGATGATAGTGACTTACATGTAACCGACTCAAACTACTTAACGGTGCTTTTAATAGGTGAGTCTCTCAACAACTAACGGAGTTTCGTGAAATGTGTCGACATATCTGAATATAGAATTAAAGTCAAATAATCTTTATTTCATAGGTAAGCATTTATATTTATTTATATTTATATTTATATTACACTTGAAATCGTCATACTGATTCAACTCTACTGCTCATTCGTAAGGCAGACTCCCCTGAGAAGAATGAGCAAGAAACTCTAGGGGTTGCTCTTTGTAAATATACATTTGATTACATTTAACACTACTATATCTAATTTAAACATCTAAGAGCTAAACGGGTCACTACCTAGAATTTTTGTCATCCAAGTACACAGAAGTTGTATACCTTTTCCTCTTACACCCGGACCGCCGCAAGGTGTAGACGTTTTACAGCTCTGTTGATATTTCATTCTAAAAATGTTTAAATTTAAATTTGTAAATTAAATCCGAAGTGAAATTAGAAATTAATAAGTGTCTAGGAGTTACCAGTGACCAGTTCTCGGATCGATGTGTGTGTAGTGCTTTCAATAGTAAATTGTGGTTGTGCTTCTTAAGACTGTCTCCACCCATGTGCAAGCGATTACGCAGCTTGTAGCAAACTGTTGGTGGCTTCTGTACTCCTAGTACAATATGGAAAAAAATCGCAATCTGACTTTGACATGTCGATTTGTATATCTGAAGGAGGCAAAAATTCATCTCCTACTGGTCATGGAATCCTCCGCCAGCAGTGTGACCAGCAAACACAACTGGATGAGTTATGCATTGATGACAAGACACCTCGGAACATTATAACCTGGCGCCAACAGAATAAGGATATCCAACCGAATGACTTGCTGAGGGACCAATTAAATGATTTTAAGGAGGAGATGAGAAGTTTAATGACATTTTTACAACTACTCAAAAAGTAAACTCGTAATCTCTCACTTACACTTACGTGTCTCACTTACTATCATAAAAAGAATTTCAAAAAACTACATTTGACGATGTCGTTTCAGTAAAACCAGATAACAGTACTACTACTCCTGGACCTCTGGCAAAAACAGAACCAACAGGTAAAAATAACTTGTTTTATTTTGTAATATTTTTATAGCCGACTGACTATATGTGCCATATACCCCTGAAGCGTAGGAATGTACTGCCGTTCAGTAGGTGCCACGAGATACTCCGTCGCCGACGCGGGTATTTATCGCGTCACTTAATATAAGAATAAAAATTACAGCTGCCGACGACATTTCTGTAGAACCAGTTATCAATACTACTGCTGGACCTCTGGCAAAAACAGAACCAACAGGTAAAAATAACTTGTTTTATTTTAAATTTGTATTGAAACGATATTCAATTATTTTTTGGGAAATTATTCCACTAGTTTGTTATAATTATTAATACAAAGATCGAAACACTTAGAAAAAATTATTTCGATCCGGCCGGATTCGAACCGACGTCTTCCAGCAAACCGTGCCAGACGTTATGCCAACTAAGCCACGGAACGAACCAGCATACCTCACAAATCTTTCTGTGATTGTTTTGTCGGATCTTTGTATTTGGCTTTCAACAACTTTTTAGCCGTTTTTTTTTATTTTGTAATATTTTTTACACACAACAATTTGTATAGCGGACTGACCATATCTGTCATATACCCCCGAAGCGTGGGAATGTACTGCCACACACAAGCTGCTACACAAAATGGCTGTCACGAAGCGGATATCTATCCCGTCACTTAATATCATAATAAAAATTACAGTTGCCGACGTCACTTCAGTAAAACCAGTTATCAATACTACTGCTGGACCTCTGGCAAAAACAGAACCAACAGGTAAAAAAGACCTGTTTCATTTTGTAATCTTTTTACACACTACTTACGTTCTAAAATTCGTATAGCTGACGTAGGCAAAAACCTGCCAAGCTTAATTGGGCCTGGAATGTGATGGGAATATACTGCCGCTCAGTACGTGCCACAAAATCAAGGCCCAAAAACCAATGGCGTCTAACATAATGACAACGTTTTGTTTTCAGATTCACCCTTACCCGTAGCTTGGATCTGTGTGGGAGTGGCTATATTTATTATCTTGCTCATCGTTATAGCTATTTTGACGTACATAATACAAAGGAAACGCAATGTTACTCCGAATGTTAACGATAACAATGACGTTAGTGTAAGTATTTAGTTTGGTAGTTGACAGTTAAATCGTCATCTTGTGGTATTTTCAAAAGATTGTTAACACACACGTACGTCCAGGTCCGCAGCAATAGCTTTTTTATAATGTCAAGTGACGAAACTGTACTCCGTCCAACCGTTTATTTAACTTTTGACGTATGCATGCCTCCGAAGTTGCGTAATTATTGAAATACAACCGTAGACAAAAATGCAATAATTCCTGGACTATTTTATTTTTTTAAATTGAGTGAAGCGACGAGCTCTTTAGCTCCGATATTTATCGAGCCAACAGATTATGTAACGAAGATTATTCAAGTTGATAAATGTTGGTATACCTGTCTAATAAATTACAATGAAATGAAATAAATTATAAATAATTGTAATATTTTTTTTATTGTTTCTTATAACGGATTGTCGGATTCTTCTTCATATGAACGGGATTCATCACTAACATTAATTCTTGAATGCACAAATTGTCAAACGCTACATCAAGATCCCAATCAGACAATATCTTCTTTTTTGAACCCTCTCACATTTACGATTTACATTTCTTCATAAATAAAATCGATTGTTATAAAAATAATCATTACGACATCACTAATTGATTAGAATTCGAGCTGTCAAACGTTAAATAAATAGTTGGACAGATCCTAGGTCCGGGGGTTGGACGGAGTATAACAAGTCGTGCGCCTGATTGTAATTGTATATACGAGTGTGTTATAAAGTTAACTTACCCTGGAAGAGAAAGGCAGTAGCAATGCTCATATAGTAATATGAGCATTGATTTAATCAGTAGATTGGCAGTAGAAATAGTACGGTACCCTACCCTTGATGAACTTTTTCACAAAGAGCTCTGCTGCTACTATCACGATATAAGTGTCCAGCTTGACTTTGAGCGGTTGACTCTGTACTGTAGAGCTTCTAGTGAAAGAGTTCGTCCAGGAGTATTCCCACCTTAGCTATTTCTACCATCAAACAGTAATGTGAGCATTACTGTGTTCTGGTTTCAAAGGGTGCTGGTGAAATAACGCACAACGCACACACTCAACATGGCCCCGCACTAGGGAACACATACATAGACAACCACAAATTACACCCAAACTCACGAGAGAAATAAATGTAGGCTATACAAATATTTATCCCGGTCCGGGAATCGAACACAAACAAAAATACACACACGCATGCACGCACGCACGAGCCCGCCCGTTCATTTCGAACGTTTAGGAGCTATGACGACACAAAAAAACACAGCTGCGTCTCGGGTGGAAAGAAGAGGAAGGATTTGAAGAGCCAGCCCAATGACAGACCAAGTGACTTCAGATTTTATGTATCACTGCCGCCAATTGATGTCTATCAAACAATAACCAGTGTTATCAGACGGACCGTTACACTATTTACCAGTTTGTATGCTATGAAATTAGATGTGGTACTACCGTCGCATGTTGCGCATTGGTTGGACACAGAGGGTCACGAACGAAACCGTGATTCGGCGTGTTCATATGTCACGGAAAAGGATGCCATCTATCAAAAGGCGCAAAATAGAGCATCTTGGTCACGTGATCAGGAGCAATAAATACACGCTGCTACTGCTAATAATGATGGGCAAAGTGCAGGGAAAGAAACGCGCTGGACGAAGAAAGAAAACGTGGCTGCGGAACATCCGGGAGTGGACCGGCATTGCCTCCGTCGAACAACTGTTTCGATTGGCTACTGATAGAGACGGATACAGGAAGCTGACGGCCAACCTTCAGCATTGAAGAGGCACTCTAAGAAGAAGAAGAATGCTATGAAAGTAAACACGGCAGAAACAACCTTAAGCCTCGATTGTTGTCACTACCGCTGTTGCCAAAACTATTACATATATTATATTACTATATTGGACAACGTCACATTCGTTGCTCTGATCCCAAAGTAAGTAGGTAAAGCACTTGTGTTACGGAAATCGGAAACAACGACGGTACCTCAAAGATGGCGACACCATGAAAACCGGTGTGCAAGCCATCATGGAGGCCGTCATAATGTTAAACTCACACCATCATAATGTTAAACAATATTCAATCTTGATAATGATTGGTAGTAGTTTCTATTTAAAAAGATGCAACAAATTCTGGACATAATTTAAACTTTATCGTTGAAAGCTCAATACCTGTAAATGCAAGTTACGACGTTTTGATTCTATTTTGAGATTTCGTTCAATGTGCTTCCACCTAACGGCAATAGCTGAAAGATGAGTGTCGATAAAATTGCGAGATTACGGATCAGTAGCGTGAAAAAAAACAACAAACATCGAAATAGCGATATACGCTACCATATTGCACCAATATACGGTTTACTTTCGTTTCTTACAACAAAAACTGTTTTAAGATCAACAGAAAATGGAAAATTTATTAAAATTAAATAAAATAAGATATGACTATGATAAGACACGATGACAAAAAACACGGTCATGGATGCGACTATAATTATTGCGCTCCAAAGTGGCAATAAATAAAATTACACGACCATATAACATACGAAGCCAAAATGGCGGACTGAGCACATCACGCCAACTAAGCACGTTTATTGTATTTATTGTTATGTGAAATTAAATCTATAATTATTTTTCGATTACAGCTAGAGCCAGTCTACAGCTACGCAACTGCACCTGTTTTGAAATGGGAAGATGCGCACGCGCTGGCTGCGAACAACCGACCGCTGCCCCGATATGAGAGTGTTGTCCCCAGTTTGCCGCCCCGAAACGCCAATCAGCCTGAATACGAATATATCGACCCTAGGGATTTGAGGAAATGAACGGTCCTAAAAGCTGTATATAGTTGGTGCAAGTAGATGGAACCCACCAGTACCTATAAAGAAACCAACAATATGTCCTCTTAACCACGTCGCCAGTTCCATGAGTTCAATAACCTCACTTGTCCAACTTCACTTCACAGTAAAAAAGTAACGCCTTCATCGCTCTTACTTTTACGTCTTTCAAAGCTATTAAACTATCTATGCATGGTATTATAAACGCATTACAGCATTCAAATAAACATTCTTCAAGCGATTGAAGAATTTCCTGAGGTGTACCATTGCCTTGGATTCAGTTGTAAAGCGTTCTGGGAAGCTTATAATCGACTCGGATTTTGTAGAGAACGCTGCAGAGCCTTGAATACCGCCGTAAAGTTGCCTGATTATTCTACAGGATATATCACGGAGAGTGTGCGAGGGAGTTGCACGATTTAATTCCGCCTTCACCTTTCCATCATTGGGGAACCAGACTTAAGCTGGAGTTTCTCCCCTATGTTATGGATATTCCAAGGATTTGCACGAAGCGTTCCGCTTCCACATTTACAAGGGGAATGGCGATGGAGTAGAATTCCCCGCCTGCAGACTTGTTCCCTGAACGGCATGACTTAGGCCTTTCAAAACAAGAGTGAGTAGGCATTATTTGGTGTGCATGCTCCATAGTCCACTTCATCGTCACTCTCCATCAGGTGAAAAGATGGATGTCAAATCTGCGCATATTTAAAAATAAACCTACTTTTACCAGAAACTCAATGGCGGCTATTTGTTTTAGGCTCAAATCCATTAGTTGATCTAATCAGTCAATCTGAAAATGACAAGAGTATACTGTATTAAATAAAGTTACTTGTATAATACCATGCACAGGTAGTTTATTCAGGGCTCCGTTACTGGCTCAAGGTTACGCGATAAGTGAGTGTGTCGATGTCGGTACAAGCGCTCAGAGGGTGTTGCACTCAGATGTGAATGGTCGTACGGGACGTTTTGTAAGAGTTTATGAGCTGTATTCCACCACGCTGGCCCAATGCGGGTTGGGGACATCGCACGGTTTTCAAGGACTCAGAACCTTCTTCGACGTGCACGTTTCATTACGATGTTTTTCTTCACCGTTAGCGAGAATTATTGCTATTAAACTTTCAAAACTTGGAGAGTTGTAAGTACATGTCGCTTCGGTATTCGTCGTCGTCCTCCCATCGTTTTACTAAATGAATAATGTTAATTTCAAATTACTTTATTAATTATGTATACACTAAATTATAATAATTACTTAGTTCAAAGTCTGACGTCTTTCATTTACATTACAATCCTTGTACAACCCTAGCGCATTCGGTTCCGCACGACTGTACACTGCACACGGCGGGCAACGTGTTTTCACCTCTCTGAGCGTCTGCTTAGGGTCCTTTTTTCTCGTGGTGAGCGTCTGATGTCATTAGTCAGATTTAATAGGCTATTATAGCGTAGTGTAATAATCTCTTTTTGACAATTTTGAGCGACAGTATTTTTTTTTAAAGTAAATGCAGTAACAATTATACACTAATGTATTTTTATAAATTACGAAACCAAAAACAACTTTCTTAGCAATTAACAATTATCAATTATGCGAGAATCGGTAAATAAGTACGGAGGCTCAGACAATGAAACGTGGCGACCGTTGGCAACGCGATGAACCCGTCCTACCCTGCGCGTCTGCTTTTATAGCCACGCTGAAAAGATAGTATTCTTATTTTTTACAAGCCTCTTCTGATAAGAGTCCGTGACCGTGCTTTAGAGAGCTTTAGCCACTCTTAGTGGTCTTTTTAGTCAAGGATCGGCATAGATAGTAAGGGCGTGGACTCTTTAGATGTTGTGAAGGCAGACGAGCTAGGCAGCAGACGATCCTGAGACTCCTGGCTGTGGGGTCTCAGTCTCCATTAGGGACTCAGCCGCTTCCTGTGGTAGCAGCAAGACGTGAATTCTCGCTTTCTGCCTGCAAGTGGAAATGAAAACAGAGTGCTCAAGCTTTTGCATTGGTTCAAATTTTTTGAAAACAGACTCATCATCATCATCATATACAGCCTGACTTCACCCACTGCTGGGTATAGGCCTCCAAGTTTCTGTGCTCCCCACGATCCCGTGCATAAAAAAACAGCATAGCTAACAAAAAATTGCTAAGAGCTGCAGAGCTCACGATTAAGTCGTAGGCACGACGTTGGCATAACTTAATCACGACGTAGCTCGACGTTCGCTGTTTCTGAGGACACACCTGTGACGATTCCCTTAAGAAAACAACAGGTGAACATACAACTCACCATCAAAGTAAGCAGCACACAACTCAGAAGTCCACTCTCCACGCCATGGGATCATGTACTCCGCTGCCTGTAGGAGCCAGCCAGGAGTTGCAATTTGTAACGCCCATGTGGCAGGATCTTCGACACACTGTACGGGCCACGCATGCCGGAGTCCAGCTTTCCCGTTGACTACCCTTGTTTCTTCACAAAAACCAAAGAGTTTAGTACAAGGTCAAAGAGTTTAGTGCAAAAAGTTGGTTTTTAAAAACGTATCGATTCGCTTCTAATAGACCATCATTCAGTTACTGGATGAGAATTTAGGTCTCTTCGTTGAAAACCTGTGTAATCTGTGCCCAGTTCAATGGTTTTTAGACTGTGCGCAAATCGATCGCGCGAGCGAGCGCGAATCGATGAAACAGCGAGTCACACTGGGGAGCAAACCTTTCTTACGCTGGGTAAGTTTTATTTGTGCAGTCTGCGACTATAGTGAAACGTGCCCGCAAGGTAATGTCTGCTGTAAGGCTGTGACTACCTGCTGTTATAAGCAACCACTCGCTTAGACCACCACAACCACCCCATAGTGTACTTGCAAAAGAACAGCCCCATAACTGACCGAACTTGCATCCGTATGTACCTCAATAGCCAAGTCGAGTCGCTTGCTGTTCTGTTCCCCAATCGAATTTAACCCCTTTGCGTGTTAACACCGCGATACACGCTGCTTTCTGGTTAGGCCATAAACTGGCGGACCTGTTTCACATTTTGCGGTTCAACAGCATCCGTTTGCGCTTTGAATTTTTCCCTACGCATCCGCACCTGACCTTCGCTAATGGTTCGATCCAAATATTCAATTTCCGACAAAAAGCTGGCTATTTCATCAATTTAAAAAGATGATCTTTCTTGATCATCTTTTTAAATTGATGAAATAGCCAGCTCTATTAAGGACATCCGTGCCAATGATCACTGGCGCGTTCATGAACTCGGAAGCTACTACAAACATATCTACTTCAAGAGATATGTCATCGAATTCAATAGGTAAAGTAATATAGGAAGTACTTTCAATTTCCTGACTTCCCAAACCTTTCAACACGCGAAACGCTGGTTTACGCGTACAAATAAAATGTTTCAGCAAGGATGATGAAATAAGTGAAATAGAAAAACCACTATGTATCAAATATCAATTGGCACGCGTTGAATACTGCAATAATAACATCATTGCTGTTGGTAATTTGAATTTCATTGCAACAATTTACGTTATTTTTATTGCGCGATTTGGATTTTTGTTTGGTAAAACAACTTTCTACTTTGTAGCCCGATTTTTTACACAATGAGCATACAACTGGCTTTGGCGGCACAAAAAGAGGCTTAGAATCTGAACTAATACCGGAGGAACTCTCCGCTGCACTTGTCTTAACTATCTTATTAATCAGCCTGTTTATGTCCTAGCAAACCACACACAAA